ACTCTAGGAACAACAAGTAGGCCTGCAGAGCGAGAGCGAAGTGCTCTAATAGGGTGATATGGTACTACAAGGTCAATAGTATATTACAGATTTGAGAGCAGAAGAAAAAGAAACGGATATTAAATGATTTGTGGTTTGCACAGACAGTCTGCACCAAAGTAAAACATCTTTGTGTGCTTTAAAAGCTACTTTTGGAATTTCCCTCTCAGAACACAAACATAACAGTTTAACACCAAATTTAACATTTAAAAAAAAAAACATGTGTTGTTGGGTTGTCACAGTTAATGTGATTTGTGTTCAATGAACGAGTGAGTAACTGGTACTCTGGGAGATGGCTCCAGCTGTGAGTGCAGTGCCAAAACTTTGTCCTGTCACTTCCCCGTGTTCTCACACTGCACGTTTAGAGCCAAGTCCCTTCCTGCTCTTCACTTATGATGTTAATATGTAAATGAAACCAAGCAGAATAGACTGAGCTGAACTTTCAGGCTTTTGGTTGCATTTCTACCTTAATATCGATACATAATTAAAATATTTACAGAAGTGTGCACACAGCTGTTAATGGGACTTTGTTAGTGTGTCACTATTAGTGTTTGAATCTTAAACTACGTAATACTACATTTATTTATTACAGCCTGCAGCAAAAAAAGGGCATAGTTTCACAATAGTACCTGGCATAGTAACGTTATCTTCATTGATCATCACACAGACACACTGGGATCTGACAGTAAATGTTTTCTCTTCTACACATTGCACAAATCAGCTGTTTACATACAGATTTCAGGTTTATACAGTTTGATAGTTTTTAATAACGCAGCTCTCCTGTGCTCCACCACACACAGTCCCCAGCAATGTCAGAAGAGTTAGCCCTCATATCATAAACATTCAGCCTCCTTTCATTCATCTTAAGTGCTACACTGTTTTCATAGAGAAACGGACGTAAAACCTGAGCTTCCAAAATATTACTGTTACTAGGACATCACTTGAACCTCATTGCGTGTGCTAATTTTGGAGCCACTATTTTGTGCAGCTCTTAGTAGTTGAATATTGAAACAGACTGCATCTTTATATATGAATTAGTGCACCGTGACTCCTTCCACCCCTATGGTTCATTTTTGCGAATGCTCTTTGGTAAACAGCTTTTGCACCTGTGCAGATGTTAGTAAATCTAGCTCTAAATACCACGATCACAACTTTGACCCCACATTTTTTGTTGTTGTCTGTCTTAATAACTGTGATAACCAATCGAGCCAGCTGTGAATATTGGCTCGAATTTTGTCATTTGGGGGAAAAAGCGGTGAAGCATCAGTACAGTGTGTTCCAGCACATCTACGCCTCTGGACATGTGATAGGCAAGATTAGGGAAAGGCATTGCAGAAGAGTGATGCATGTTTTATTCTTATCATTGCTACTTTGCATAAACCATATAAAAAAATTATATTACCTTTAAAAAATCTGGCACTGGAAAATGTG